GAAGTCGGCGACCACGTCGTCCCCAGCGAAGGCCTCTGTGATCATCCCGCGCTGGTCGATGCCACCCTCCTGCAGAGGGACGAGGCAGAATAGGTTTAGGGGTTACTGTGGGAACTGGGAGGGACTGGGAAGGGCCTGGGACAAACTGGGAGGTGCCGGGGCAGTGGGAGGGGGGTAAAAATTACTGGGCATTACTGCGTGGGGGTTTAGGGTTACTGTAAGGGGGTTTAGGAATACTGGGAGTTAGTAGTTTGGGGCTTATGGTTACTTGGAAGGGGTTTAGGGTTACTGCTTTGGGGTTACTGTGAGTTACGGAAAGGAGTTTTGGGGCTACTGGAAGGGAGTTTAGGGTTACTGGGAATTAGTGGTTTGGGGTCTAGTGTTACTGGTTGGTGTTTTGGGTACTGAGGAGCATGGGAGAGGCCCGTCATGCTCACCTCTTCCTCCACGACCACAGGCAGGCTTGGGCAGTCCATCTCCTGGGGCTTCCCATCCAGTACAGCCTCCAGGCTGATCATCTTCTTATCTGTTGTTTTTTCGGCATGTCTGTCCCCAGCCGTTCTTTCCTTCTGCTGCTGCACTTGCTTCCCTGCTCTCGGGGCCACTGGCTTCTCCTGCTCTTCCACAGGCTCCTCCTTGGCCAGACCCTCCACATCCTCCATGGTCTGCACACGGTGCAGCTGCTCTGAGAGCAGGAGCTGCTCCTGGGCCTGAGGGGGTGGCTCCAGCCCCATGCTCACCGGCTCCTCAGCACAGAACGGGGGGATGGGGCTGTCCCCCGGCCGCTCAGCACTGGCCTCAGTCTCACCAGCACCTACACATTGAGGGTGTAAATGGTCACTCTGAGCAGGGTGGGAGAGTAAGGGCAGCTCTGTGAAAACAGCCAAAAACCGCCCCCAAGCCCCCCTTCCTTTGCCCAACCCTGCAGCACTCCCAGCCCCCCCTGCTTGGGGTCTCATGCTCCTCACCGTGCCCTTCAGGGCTCCCTGCCCGCTCCTGTCGTGCCTGCCGCTTCTGCTCAAAGTCTTGTAGCAGAGCTTCCTCCTCTGACAGCTCCTCCTCTTCCTCCTCCTCAATCTCCTCCTTGCTCTCTGCAGCACCAGGCACTGTGCCATCTCTGGGAGCCTCCTGTGCCTCAGGCTCTGGGGCCGGGGCGCTGGGCTTGCCCAGCATCCAGGGATTAGCCGTGCTGACCCTGGTGGGGATGGGCACGGCTGCAGGATCCTCTTCGGGCACCTCGCACGGCTCCTCCTCAGGTGGCTCCACCTGCACCTTCTGCATCAGCTCCTTGTTCCTGGCCAGCTGTTCCTGCATGGCCTTGCGGGCCTAGGGGGCACCAAAAAACTCTATTACAAGGCAGAGAACTCATTCCCACCTTCCCTGCTCACCTCAGCTTCTCCCACTTCCCCAGTCAGCACTGGGGACCTTGTCATGGCCTTTCAATGCATAAAGGGGCTTATAAGAGAGAGACTTTATAACACATCCTGGAGGGGCAGAACAAGGGGGAATGGCTCCACACTGACAGAAGGCAAGCATAGATAGGATATGTACAAATTCTCCCCTGTGAGGGTGGTGAGGCCCTAGTACAGGGTGCCCAGAGAGATTGTGGCTGGACACTTCCATCTCTGGAAGTGTTCAAGGGCAGGTTGCATGGGGCTTGGAGCAACCTGGGCTACTGGAAGGTGTCCCTGCCCATGGCAGGGGGGTGGAATGAGATGAGGTCCCTTCCAACCAAACCCTTCTGTGACTCCATGATCTCACCTCCAGGTCATACTTGGCCATAATGGCCCTGGATCGGGCCCACTTTCCCTTGTTCTGGTGTTTAAGGCTCATCCGTTCCTGGAGGGAAAGAGAGAGAGAAACATCACACAGAGCTCTCCAAGCAGCAGGGCCCTCTTGAGGAATGGGGCTGAGGTACCAAGGTAGCACCTGCATCCTGAGCTGCTCCAGCTCCTCCAGCCGTGCCAAGGCAGCTGCAGGGTCCGACTTGTGCAGCTGCTCAAACTCCTTCAGGGCCTGGCGCCTCCTGCTCTTCTTCAGCACACGATGGTACCTAGGGCACGAGGGCAGGTGAGGGCTCAGGGTCTGGGGGGCCTCCAGTCCTCCCCACTGCCCTGAGCCCAGCACAGGCACAGCCTCACTTCTTGCTCTTGATCCTCTTCTCTCGCCGAGCCTTGGCCTCGTAGTAGGACTGCACAGCCCGTGCCTTCTGCAGCTCTGCCCGCCGCCGCCGGGCCTGACAGGGAGC